GACATACGATGGCGCAAGTCTCTGCTACGGTACATTTCATTTTTAGTGCTTCTTGTTCCAATTAACAAGAATGACTTGCTCGAACTCTTTCTAAAATATCTCTTGTTCCTCAGGGTATCAAGGCTAGCATTATCCGGTACTTTGTCAAGAACATACCGGCGTTTGTGCAAAGATCGTTCCAAACCAAGAACGTTGCGACGAGGCCTCAAGTCTCGTTCCTTCCATTGGTCGAAGATAAGGGCACAGTCAAACCGGCACACCAGCCCAGCTTGCACAAGACACTGGAGATTCTTCAAAAGAGATAGAGAAGCAAAGGCTTTGTCATGAGGGGGCTAGGATCTACAAAAGGAGTCCCTCCTTGAATAATTGGTGGATAAACGAATCGACATCTACCATTAAATAATAGACGCGTAGCGATTCAGGGAGAACACAAATGTAGTTGGTCAGAATACTAGAACTAACATGGCGTAAGAGCTCTGTCACAGTAAATTATAAAAGGTGATGATCGTTCAAGAACAGTGCGCCATTGTAAACCAAAAGTAACACTATCGGGCACCGCGGTTCATCAATGCCATTCTGCCTCATCAATCGACAGAAACAAGGCCACTATAGAGTAAACCCCCAAGATGCGTGGGGTACCTACGCAACACGTGAGTGCTCTCGCCTTTCCCCAGAGCACGGCCAACGGCCTGACCAGAGGAGTTGGGAGTCCATCATCCCCTGGCTCCTGCCGCTAATTTCAGCTTCCTGTTTGTTCATAGAATTCAAACCTAACCCCTCAGCTGGATGGGCATGTGCAGTTTTTAGGACAAGTGTCCCAAAAAATGTAGAGAATAAGTCCGCTATCTATTCTGCATGACCTCGTCTTGTTACATCTGATGTCGTGTTGAGGTAGGGAAATTGACCAGTGAATTGTTACTCAGTGCGCCTGAAGACCTGGTCTCTGACAAGATCCAACCTCGGTCCCTCCTGCTCCGCCGTCGTTGTAAAAGAACAAAGACGCGTATATGGAGACCATTGTTAGACGCGGTGAACCACTAGTACGTGGATTGATGAATCGTTGCTCTGTGAAATATGTCATGGCGTTGAATTATATTCAACGATTTGGAGGCGACATGTCTGACAGAAGGGGAGGATGGATCGCACAAAACGAGCCAGGACTCACAGCATAAACAGACAAAATGTGACGAAGAATGTAATGCGTTCAAAGTTGAGCTCGCTGAAAGATTTTTTATAATCTCACTGGAGTTCGGCTCAATGAAGGTAGCACGATGGTCCGACACAGAGAAGATTCTTACTCTGAACGTATTTTGTTTTCACATTACATACTTTAGAATAGTTTAATTTAAAGAAGCTTTGAAACCCCTCAATTTTTCGCTTTTTGGCAATGAAAATGGCCCACGAAATCCAGTTTCGACTGTACCTTGCTACTCTACAATCATTGCATATTTCAGACTCGACAGTCAGTCTCTGATCTCTCATTATGAACTTGTGTATGACACCATGGAGCACCGGCGGATAGGACCGTTTTGGGTGTTTCTCATCCCAGAAAATCACTTGTTCGCATCTTGATCTGTCACGGACAAAAGGTGCTTAGGATCAGTCATGGATTCTGGCTGGGTCACGCTTGGGGATCGACGCAAAGCATGGTTCCACAAATGGAACGCCGCCAATATCGAAGCTGAGCAAGTACTCGGGCTCGATGATATGCTTGGACTCGAGAGGGTGGATGTTGCGACGGCAATAAAAAACGAATGCAAGTTGGAATGAATGAGTGAACAAAGGAATGAGAGAGAATGAGGGTGGGGAGAAAAAGAAAAGTGAGATGATAATGATGATGATGATGGTGATGATGGTGCTGTAGTAGTAGTTGACGGTGACTTGCAGCCTAGTGCTCGTTCTCACAAGAGCATTCAAAGGTCCTTTTTCTCATATTTCCGCTTACATTCACTCGCATGTTTATTCTCTATTTCATTCTACCTAGGGCAAGGAGAGGATATGCGCAAGGTATGTATGCCATACCCGGACATGGAAATACCATTACTTACGGGATCGAGAAGAGGCAATAAAAAACAAACAAACGACCGGGCCAAGGATGCTCCATCTCCTTTGGAAAGAACAAAGTGGTGTCATCAGGATGGAAAATGCCTCTTGCTCGTCTTCGGCACCCTATTCCATGGAACATGTCAATGTGCATGTAAAGCATTACATACCAAAAAAAAAAAAGAACCGCGGTTGTTTACAAAAGTGAGGATGCACGGGTGTCAGAGCGTACTTTATTTCGAGAACAAAAAAGAAAAATCAGTTACACCTACCTGTAAAGGCATTGGACGGGTCTCTTAAAACGAGTTATTATCGATGATATCATCATTACCGTGGCTGCTGAAGTGGTCATGGCCATTACTCCTCGGACAGGCGTGCCTTCTTTACAAAAGGTACCAGAGAGGCACTGGTATCGGGAACAGCCGCCACTAGTGCTGAGCAGGTCGATCCTGATCCTGACCTTGATTCATCTCCTATCGTCATTGACGATGTGGTGCCCATTTCACTGGCTTCGCTTGATGCTGCCAGAGTTGCGTCAGGGATCAGCATATCAGCATCAGATGTCCTCTTGGCAGGGAGCGGCTGAGGCACGACTGGCGGCACCAACTGGAAACACTTTTTTTCAATCTCTGGATTGATTATCAGCGTTGACTTTTGCATCGTCAGAACTTTACGATTAACCAGTCTTGCGAGGAATTCCTCCATGACTTTGGTGGCCGTGTCCTGATCCGCCATGACTTCTAGAGCATCTGTCCCCTTTAATGCTCGGTTCTCTGTACAAGCCCTCTCAGCTGCGTATACCGATATACAGGTCCTTTTGGTTGTTGGTCGATCCCACAGCGAGGACAACTCAAGGAACAGTCGCAAATCCGCCACATCCTGGTCTTCGTCCTTGCCAAATTCCGATACATGAACCGCAGGGATGGCCGAGGGATCGACCTTTCGGCCATTAAAGTACTTGC